TGGTGGTTTTGCAGTGCAATTGTTTGTCGTTCCTTTAACCTGTTCTGCGGGGTCTCAAACCTTTACCAGGCGAAGTTCACCTGGTTTTGGTCTCCTGCTTGGGGGAATAATGAGGGAATACTAGAGGGGTCAGTGCCAGGTACGAGTACCATATACCTATTGGTTGCCAAGGCCGTGACAGGTATGACATGATACCCCAGACTGCACAACCTGCGAAGCCCTCAATAGCTGAGCTACCAGCAGTGATGCACAGTTGTCATTGATGCTACTTCCAGTCACACCCCATCCGGCCGGTGGCGTCCAATCAATCACTCACCCTACAACCCTTAGGTGTCACAGTGGTCCAAAGGCTAGCTTTGTGATATGTGGAACGTAGACCCCAAGGCTATCCCTGAATCTTTCTGGCCCATGCCAGCTTGAGAATGGCTTGAGCCAAGGCTGGCCAGCCTTGCTCTTCCGGCGCGAAAACTCCGCAAGAAAAACATCTACTTGGCGATCTAGGCCTTCCAAGATGTGTCATCTGCTACTTCTTGAAGGAAACACACAAACCGATCCAGCTTGAAGGAATGTTCAGGTATGCTCAGGTCTCTCATGACCCTACAAGCTTTGGCGATTCTGATAATAATCACCTTGGACAGGTGATTCTTCTTCTTCGATTCTGATTCCGTGATTTCTCTTTTTTCGGCCCCAAACCGCCAAATGTCCGTCCACCGGTCGTGGGCTCCACATCCGCCAATCTGTCGTTGATGTGTTGATTTCACAGCATTGGTTTAAGTACTACGTACAGTATGTTTACTGTAAGTGAACACCCACAGAAAACCCACAGTTTTGGTGACTAAAACCATGGTTTCCTGTAGATTTTCCCTTGAGCCAACTCCGTCATGACCCCAAAGTAGAGAGTTCCGCAGCCTTACACTCTTGACGAGCACATCACATGGAAGTGGATGGCCTCATCCCTTGGAACAATGACTTTCCTCTAGAAACAGGGGGGGGCTCCATCCACTTCCATAGAAACATGAGTCCCAGTCTTGCTTCCGTCGCTTTCCCAAAACTCCAAGGGGGTTCCGGGGTGACAAGGGGGTTCCGCGTGTCAGGGGCATTCCTCCCGTTTACGGCACCCCAACATGGCACTGCTGGGGGGGCGATATGTGACGCCAACGAGCCTGGGAGACCAGGTCAACATCTTCAACTGAACAGGTCACGAAAGAGCTAAGTGTTCTGAAACATGGCCTTCCAGGATTCATTGAAGGACCAATGTTCAATGACCTTCATGAAACTTTCACATATGTTATTAATGTTCAATGAGCCAAGGTCATGAAACTCCCATTGAACAATGTTGACCAATGTTCCATACTCCCACTTGAACTTCATGAAACTGGAGAAACCTCATGCGCTCCGAACACTGTGATAAACCTGGGACCTGCCCTGTGGGGAAAGCAGGATCACTGGTCGCTTTTGGCACAGCTGCACGGTCGCTCAAGTGGTACTTGGTTTTGCCAGGTATCTGATGCCATCTGGAAATATCTTGAACCCATTCAGCATCCAAACGCCTGGAATCAAAGAAACTAGAACCCATTCCTCTAAGCCTAGCCTTCCAAAACGATGAAACACGGATTGACATGGTTGTGTTGTGTGAAATCCGTTGTAAAACAATGCTTGCTCGGTAAAGACCATTAAATCCATGGTTGGAAGCCGGTCTATAGAAATCCTAGCAGCTCTACCACCCCTCGTCTCCAGCAGTCTCGGTAGTCCTATGGCAGTCCTATGGGTCGGGTCGAACCAACCTAGCTTCAGCCACTAGTAGTATCTAGTAGCCTAGTGGTGGCCCTCCAAAGCTAGTAGCGATGGCCGCCAACATCCTCCAACCGATCCTAGATCCGAAAGAAGAACCTCTCGCGTCTTGTGTCTCGCGGACCGGGAGGCCAGACGCCGACGTGTCCGGCCGGGGCAGCGTCTGGGAAAGAGGTCGGCGTGGTCGGACCCGTCACCAAGGGTCGAAGAAACACATACAAAGCTCGCCTTTTTTTGGGGGGGGGCCAAGGCGGATTGGGATTGGACATCGTTCTATTTGTTCAACGAAACTTCATCGTCACAAGTGGTTGGTGATGATGTATTCTGCACCAAATGGGCATGTAGTATGAGATGAAAGGGATAGACACTTGCATTGGGGTCATTCCGATGTCGTTGCCCTTTGTTCCATTGCGACCCACTGCCAGCTATGGAGTCAATCTTGCTATATTCTCTGCCTCCCACTATGCTTAGGGTCCAAAATGGTCCAACATGTAGACCCGGAATGACCCGGATGACACAGCCAACAGGACACTGCACCGAAAAGAAGCACCACCACAAGACCAACACCATGACTCAACCTGGATTGCAATGGTCCTGCTGGAGAAAGCCAGGGGATCAAGTTCGGTCAAGAAGGGAAGATCCGTGACCTGATCACTTCGCTCTTCAGTTCGTGATCTCCCAGCTTAGTCTAACGATCCGTAAAAACCACGGGTGCTTCGTGAAGAACTGAAGAACCCTATAAACCATCCAACGGTGCTTGGACTCCGAATGACTCAACACGAACACTACGAGTTCCGACTACTGACCGTCACCCATGCTCGACCTCTCCGACCTCTCCCCATCTGCCCGGCAAAAAGATCCAGCAAATTCTTGCACGAGCAGCCATCCCAGAAAAACGCACGTCTAGAAGGGTCTAGAATCTAGAACATGCAAAACAAACATAAAATGAGCCTGATATCAAATAGATGCTGGTGTCTTGACATCATCTTTTTATAAACACCTTTGTGGCATGGATGATTCAACATCACCCAATCATCCAACATCTCAGTCGGTTCCTCTGCCGCCCTTGTGGAGGCGAAGTTGCGGGTGACACCTTCCAGTAACGATAATAACGCAAATGAAATAACGCCATGGCATATGAACTTCCCTTGCATGTTCTTCACTCAAGATGCTCAAAAGGGTTTTAATCAAAACGCTTAAGGGGAAAAACATCATCCGGCGCTGCACATGCAAGTGACCACGCCCTGCCGCATGCCTCACGAATTCTCACTGTTTTGAATGCGCAAGGAGGATCGGAGATGTTCCAAGTGCTGAAGTGCCTGCTTTCACCGATCTGCCGCTACTCTCAACCGGTTTCGGTCGTAGGTCGTATACGTCGTCCCGGAATTGGTGCTATGCAGTTCGCACGACCCCAAAACGGTTCCCACTTTCCAACACACAGCCATATGCAGTCAAAATGGCCCTTTTTCTCAAGATTTCGAGTGCTTGGCCCGAACTTGGTGCTTTGTCCCCAGCGCTCTGCCGACCCAAAAAAAACCACCGATGCACTCGTCACCAGAGCGTGGAACTCACGCACCGCAACTCCGGCCGACCACGGCCACCGCTGAAAACCCACAAGGCACGCACGCACGGTCAACGAGGTCGAGCCTCGCTGACTCTCTTGTTGGACTGCCTTAACGTCTTGGCTTGCTTCTGCTGATCCAGGACATACTCTTCCTCGGCACCAGTGGGCGAGCCGATCGCCCTCGCTTTTGGCGCGTATCTTGTTAAGGGCGGGTAGATTAGGAATGAGCCAAAAGTCCAAGATCGGCTTGCCAGGAGTCATGCCGCATCTTACACATTATCTTCGACTTACATGGGGAATTCTGTCACAGTTGAAACAATTCCTTCAAGTTGGCCGTGCTTTAATTGGTATCGATTGGTGGGCTGCAATCCATATAGTCACACACGATTAGGTATTCACTTTGGTCGGTATGAACATACATGACCTGTATGACCTATATATTGTACTATATCAAACATGAATACGTCAAATTAATAGTTATTATACAGTATATCCGAAACACTCCATGCTCCATGGGACTGGCATATTTGCCTACATTCGGGCAGTGGACCTGGATCAATTCAATAAAGAGGGTAACTATATAAATGCAACTATGCAAGTCCCGGACAGGTTGTGTCTGGTCAAAACCTGGAGCCCCAAATTCTGGTGGGTTGACATCCCTTGTAGAGGAATCTCTTCATTTGATCCGCGGTCCAGCAGGGTGTCCGGGCTTGGCAGACCCAGGGTGGTCGTGCCTGGATTCGATCCGTGGTCCCTCCTCGCAGGACTCTTGGACTCCCGTTGTTCCTACCCTAAGGATCCGAACGGACCCTCCTTAGAAGGGGTCGAACCCTCTAGTTCACAAGGGTCTGTACCCGAACCAAACCCTTGTTTTTGAGGGTGCGCATCCTCAGGTAGTAGCTTCTTGCTTCTATAGTAGCGATGGCCTCCAACCTACTAGCGATGGCCTCCACCGTGCGTAGCTTCTAGCTACTAGTAGCTTCTTGTTCCTAGCAGCTTAGCAGCGATGCCAGTAGCTTGTTGCCGGCCTCCCGCACTTCGATGAGTCAACGACGGACGACTTCGCCCAGGCACCGGGAACAAGTGCCGGAGGAACTCGTCATAGTCCTCGGAACTCATACGGAGGAACCATTTGGATCCGGGGATCGAGAAGGGATTGGACACGGGGTTCATTGGATCCAGGAAGTGGATGGCACCACCCACCTATTTTGGGGGCGGCCGAGCTGCCATCTACTTCCATGATTCCGGGGAGTGTATGTGGAGAAAAGCCACACGAAGGGCACTAAAGAGCCAAACAAAAATCTTACGGATTTTTGTGTCTTGCCAATGGTCGCAGGCTAGCGCTACACTCCATCTTTTAGTCAAACACTTCATGCATGTATGACATACATTTCCCTGGGGCTCCAAGTACCTATGAGAAGGTGTTTGGGGTGGGTGCCATGTTCGGGTCCAAATACCTTGAGGAGGTACGACTGGAGCCACAGGGTTTGGATGCTTTCAGGCGTCATGCCTGGTTCTTCCAAGTGACCTTTGCACACCCTCGCTTCCGTCCACAAACAGGCCTGTTTGACGGGTCACTTACTCCAACAGGTCCCTTTTCCAGCTGGTTGAGATGCGCCGACCACGCATCGTTCCCGAGCGCAAGTTAGGCATTCGCTGTTCGAACTGGTGCGAATGAGGAGCACAGGTTCTTCCATGGAGTGACACGCCCTCCATGCTGACCGCGATTCGGTCCGCGGAATGGTCCCGGACGGCGCCAAGAGACTAAGCATCCGTTCTGGTTGTCATCGAAGAGCACGAAGAGTTGGATGGCCACTTCGGCGCTAATGCCAATGCGCATTTGGTTGATCAAGGCGATAAACCTTCCGGATTTCTGGTCCGGATACAGGCTGAACATGGGTAAGGGTAAGGGTGAGGTGAGTGTATATATGGCAAACACTATAGTCACTAGGGTGCAGTTTCTACTTTTCATGAATGTTTGTGTGATCTAGCACTCGTCTGGTAGGATTTCTGGAAGTTCCTACGGTCGAGCTGCAGCGAGCGAGCCGTCTCTTTTTTTACCTATAGCATGCAACCCTCGGACAAGTCTTAAAGGTCAAAAGCGTCTTTCTCCCTACCTACTGTTCATCCATAGGATTGCCCTGGCACGAGACAGAGTGTGCAAAATTGTGCACACAGTTGGACAATTTGCTATTAAAGAAATTGGAGGCATTCTACAAATTTCTACATTATACCTGCTATAACATGCATCCTAAGTATGCAAAATTACTGCTGTTTCCCGAAAAAGAGACCTAATTTTAAACGAAACTGCACTTTCCAGTGTTGTGTATGTGTTTGCTTTTTCCTAAAAATCGGTGACAGAACAACATGTGACGGAACGGCATCTATGACCCTCGCGAATCGGCGCCAAAATAGCCCTTCAAACAGCCACGGTTTTGAGTGCTTCGTGTTGAAGACAATGGAGGTTTGACAGCGGCAATTGTATCTTCTTTTTCGCCGCGGGAGTTTCTTCGAGACGGACCACCGGAGCTACAATGAACAAACGGCATTTCTTACCCGACCTTACCAAATGGCACTGGTGGACCCAGGTATGTAGTATTATGTTAGATGTCTAGACCGTGGTGACATCTGGTCACACTGTTGCGATTGGTGCCGATCAATGTTCGAAGCGCTGCAGGGATTTCCAACACCCGACCTTGACCCTGCTACCTATAGATATTCTGAATTCTTTAAAACAATAAATACACTTCGGAGATGGTCGAAGTACATATAGATCCCATCTTGTGATCATTTGTGGGTCTGTGCCGTGAAGATTCCAGGCTACAGAGTCCTGACTTTGAGGATGGAGACTACTTTGTCACCATTCTGATGATAAGGTTCAACTTCCCCCTCTATCCCTCCCCCAGTTTTTGTTGGCCTTTGGGAACCACCCACTCATGGCCTTTGGGAACCACCTCGCCCGTCACTGGATGTCAAGTCCCCAGAGGGACCATATCCTCTAAAAAGGGTTAGACCCCCCTGGCACCCACCCCTGGCACCATCTTCTCCTCAGGAGGGGGCGGCCAGGAGCCCCAGGATTACTAGATCCCAAACACGACTAGTGGGCCGGTCAATGTAGGCATCTATGGCATACGTCTTCTCAGGCCGGGAGGGAGTATGACTCCGAGAAACTCGGAGAGGTTCAAGTGGCCGTCGCCGTCTTCATCCACGAATTCCACCAACACCTCGAGGTCGGGGCGAAACCCGCAACGACGCCGTGAAGCCGTTCTCCGGCGCATCTTCGAGGGCCAAAGAGATGGTTTTTTTGTGAAGCCAACGCCTATAAGTCAATGACCTCATTTGACTCCTGGCCTTACTAGGAGCAACAACGCTACGAACGGGGCTGAAGTCGGTCATACAAAAGCTCTACTCAAGGCGTTCTTCGGCTCCAGCAGTCGCATCTCGAGGACCGTGGATGTGATGTGGACCCCCGGACCTCCATGTGTGTGGGCACCCTGACATGTGACTGCTAGCTCCACGTGTCCTACGTTCAAGCTGCTGGAACGCCTCCGAGGTTGTTGCCGAAGCGAATTCTGCCTGTCTTGCTGTCTTCCTGCCGCCCTAAAGACCCAGTGGAGTTGGGTCGTATTCATGGTGCTCCAATGTGCCCTTAATCTTGTGGCGCGAGTGTTCAGGGAACTCCCAAGCTAGCTCCGGGTCCCTGCTTAAAAGGAAAAATGGATACCGGATGATACCGGCTCCTTCTTGCTTCTAACTAACCACCAGCTATAAGGCTACAAGCGTGAAACTGCTGATGCTGCAACCGATGAATATCGATGAGTAGACCCACCGAAGCTCCGTTTTCTGCACTTGAGTGATTCTGTTGCAGCAGGATGTCACAGGATGTCCAAATGCAACTCTCCACCCAAAGCGATCATCATTCTACCCACCCGCATGCGCCACCCCCTAGGCGCGTATGACAAACCCACCCGTCATGCAGAAATGTCTTCAGTCGCAATCGCCGGCGCCGACTACCGAGGCGCGCGCAAGTCTTGCGCGGTGTAGCCCCACTTGGCCAGGCATTTCCGCACGCGCGTCGTGAGGAGCACGCGCGAGCGGCTTTCCCAGCAGTTTTTGAATTCCTCAGGTTTTCTGGAGGAGATGCCGAATTTTAGTGCAGCTGGATTATGGCTACCTGGGAAAGGGCTTTTTTAGAACATCATAGAGCCAGCTTGCCATAGAAGTGATTTTGAAAGACGGTCTAGCGATGTTGTTGTGAGCTTTTGGTGTCTGGATGTGTCTGGTGGGTCTGGAGTCGTGATGTGCAAGTCTCGTCTGGTTCCACCTGATCGAACCTCATGGAATCAACACTTCATCAAGAACCTTGATCGGGTGGTAGGAGGGCGTAGTGCATGTACGTGTGAGCGAATCAGCACGACATTGAGTGAATTTTTGGTGTTCATGGTCTGGTGCCAATCATGTCGATCATTTGGAGCGACGTTGCTGCTGCTTGAGAGGGGGTCCCTAGAAATCAAACATGCTCAAATTTGAGGTATTAGAAATGTGTTGTGCCTGATGGATCCTGATGGAAGTCTGTCGTGTGGTAGTGTGGTACGGATGCAACCCAAATCTGACCACGAGAACGCGCCAATGACAAAGTAACCTCTCACACACACACACACCTCATGTGCGCGAGGTGTTTGCTCTCCTAGGGCTCCAAGTACCTTCGTGTCCAAGGTGTTTGGATCCTCGTACCTTCTGAGGAGGTGCCTCTGGAGCCCTAGGGTCTCGGTTCTTTTGAAAGAAAGCGACCGACAAACGTCGCGCGCGTCGTGTCTGTCACGTCCTTTTTCTCAGTGTTGAGGCACATGACCAATGATTCCCACCGGCAAGCCCAAGAATAAGACGCTGACGCATGAGAGGATGGAGACCACCACGTAGCCCGGAGTGGATTTTGGAGCAAAATCGCCGTAGCCCACGGTGGTGACGGTGACCAAGGCTAACCAAAGAGCATGTGGCATACCTCACCGGGGCATTCGGCTTCAAATCTGTTTGTTTTTTGCCAGACCATGACCTGTTTGGGAGATCTTGACCAGCCCATCCACCCCAGGTCAACCACCGAAGTAGATATGTGAGATGTCTATCCCAAACAGGTCGTGTCTGATCTCTTGGTCCTGAGCTCCATCCTGAGCGCCTCCGGGTGAGGCACCAGCCCTTCCGGGCAATCAAAGCACTCAACCAGGAGTTGATCATTCTCCACGAGTCAACAAGCCAAACTTGCATGGACCGAACACATGTTCGCTGGCACATGTTCGCTTCTATACCATCAACACCATGGTCCTTCCGTCAGACGTGACCCTTTCACCCACCGTGGCAGGCGGGACAGACCCAACAGACCCTATCTCTTGGTCAACTGCTGCCACAGATGCTGGGAATATTGTCCCGTGATTCCACCAAATAGATTGCACTGGAGGACAGCAAGGTAATGACGCCCATGGTGTACAGCAGCATTGGTAAGGCAGGGACGGAACGTTTGCAGGCGCCAATCAGCAAGTGGAAGGACTCCTTATAGACAGGATCAGCGAGTGTCACAGGTGATTTGAACAAAGAACCAATCAAAAACCTTCGCCAACAAACACCATGCAAAAGGCACACTCCGCCCACTACCTGCGCTTTTTTGACGTCTCTCTGAAGGCATGTGTCCCATAAGTCAGCCGACTCTGCTCGAACTCTCATCTCGTAGAATCTGAACTGACTCCCGAGCCGTTTCCCTTGAAAAAAGAGGTTAACCTTGTCTGGTTGGTGGCTCCTCAACTAAAGGTTGCAAAAAATAACAACCGAGGCTGAAACTAACACCAAGTTTTTCTATCTGGGTAGGTTGATTAACAACCTCCCCCCATTTCAATTGAAGAGCCTCTCATACGGGCGGGCTAAAAATCGTCAAGCGTCATCAAGCGTCTACATGGTCGATTCAAAGATCTGGGAATCTTGGACAGCCACACACTTGGTCCAACTTCCAGGACGGCTTAGCATTTTGGGCTCCAGCGATGCGAACGAACAAGCTGTTCAATAGACACAGGATGACCCTTGATGCCAAGACTTGGTCAGTCCAACCTCCGCTGCGCCGCTCCCCTCTCGTTTTCCGAAACGGCCAAGGCTCAAAATAGCGGAGCAGCTTTAAGGAGCACACGACCGGCAGAAAAAAGAGCAAGATCACCTGGCAGATGCTCCGAGCACCAGAGCACTGAAAGACAGATGGACCGACCCGAGGACGGTCTGACTGGCGGCGGCGGCCGCGGCCAGTGCGGCCGACGGTTCGGGAGGTGTCTGGAGGTGCCGAGCCTGTTCGGTTCGTCAAGCGAGTTACGGCGGCCAATCAGGTGGAGCCCCTGATACATGCATCAAAAGCTTTACAAACCTGGTCCTCAAAAAAGGTCCACAAGAACGGTAGAGATCATTGAACTTTTGCTATCATTGTCATCAGGGTGTGTTGAATCAAAACCCTGTAGCTGTAAGGAAAGGGTGGATGATCAAGAGGCATTTAAGTTGTTCCGGTCTCTCTATGGGATACCTTCCACTGTATACATAGAGAAAACCCTTCTACGCCCGGGAAAAGGCCCACATGGAACCTGAAAACAGTTGGTACATAAGTTGTTGGAAATCGTATGAAATTTCTCATCCAGTCTATTCCAGTCCGGTCCATGCCATCAGGTTGCATGGTGAGTCTCTTCCCTGGCCTTCCATGCCAGGTCTTCCACCGTGTTGCCCTTAATGGGACCGTATACAGTGGTTTCAGAGGTTCGATGGCACAAATAACCCCTACATGTCATTTAGATGGGGGTCTATATAAACCACCAACATTGGGGGATTGTGCCATCTACTCTGGAAACCACTATATATTATACATATATATATATATATCATATAGTTTCTGAACCCTTTTTGTCCCCACCTGCCCGACACCACGCCTTACACTTCCTGAAGTCATCATGGTTTCGTGGACGGCATCACCCCCATGAAATTCTAAGACCAAACAGGTTGCCACTTCCATGGATGATTTTAGGAAGCCTTGCCCCTACAGTAGGACTCCAACTATCATTATAATTCTATATTCAGTGTTCTTGCCGAACAACCAGCGTCATCGTTTTGCTACTTAAGATATTGGACCCCTCAAAAAATACAGACATCCAACCAAATACCAGGTCCATCCAGGTCCATTATGTTTGAACCCTCCTGTCGGGGTGTCTATTTATAGCCCCTTAGCTGTGATTCGGGGCTATGTTTAAAATGGCCCCAACAACCGCGATCCTCGGTCATCCCCTTTTCCCGTCACGGGTAGACGCCTCGGCCGCCGAGGAGTATGGGTGTAAGACCACGGAGATGCGCAAGGGCAGCGCCAGGGCGGCCAGGAAGTCCATCCAATTGAAAGGATCCTGAAGGTGGACCTTGACACCACGGTAGAGCGCGCTGACGCGTGTCGAAAGGTGTCGAACGATGTCTTTTTTTCCAGGATTGAGCCAAAAGAAGGGGAGGTTGGTGACTTGGTGAGGTTGGGAACTCGGATTTGGGGGGGGAGTGTGTATAGTAACTATATAGCGCTTTTGGAGCTCGAATTGGGTCAAAGCCAGGGTCATTCCAAGAAGCAGGTTTGGTTTCACGGGAAAAAACGGTCCCAACGACTCAGTGCAAGAACACCAAATTCAGTGCAAACCTTCCACTCTCTCGGTCAGAACCCGTGAAGAAAAGAAAACACCACGCTCCCACCCCTTGGCAAGGACTCCCGCCTGGCACCGGCGAAACCATGGTTCAGTGAGCTGCCGTCTGGGCAAAACAAACCCGCTGGGAGGACCATCTGCCGATCGAGGTCCCGCAGGGGGCCCCTTGGACCCGAACCAAACCTTCACCAGTCCGGTGAGGGTCCTTGATTCGGGAAGGAACCTGGACAAAAATAGGCAAAAACATCACGCAGAAGGGGAGTAGTAGGGAACAAACAAACCAGGCTTTTCGGGAACTGGAGGCCCCAACCCAAGCTTTTCGCCTCCGAGGTGCCATCTTGCGTGGGGCGGCGACCAGGCGCACGAGGAACTCAAGGCAGAAGACCAAGTCACAAGTGCTACCCAGGTAGTTCAACGTCTGACTCCACAGAGGCCCCTCCACGCTCTGAAGAAAAGCCACGACCCTGAGGAGCTACACGAAATCAAGTGGGCTGGGCCGAGTGTTGAGCTGAAGGAACGCCAGAAGTCACAAGGCAGCCGCCAAATGTTTGTGAGCATTCCGTGGATGGAACACATTCCAGCGTTGCTATATATTTTTTAGTTCATTTAGAACCTCTTCTTGGGCAGAAATGTCTGCCTATTGTGGGTAAAGGTTGGGTAGGTGCCTTTGTCCGTGCTTAGGCGTTCTTGTCCTTTGGTGGCAGTGAAAGTACAGTAGATAAGGATTCACCGACGTACTGGTTCCAGCAACTTCCAAAGTGATGAAGTACATGTGTTAATGAGGAATTCATGCAATTTACTTGATGTATCTTGATGTTTTACTTTTGTGACTTTTGTGCGTGCGTGTGTGTCTTTAGTGTTTCTATCACTATGCTGTGCTGTCCTTGTGTCATTGCCTTGACATATATATATATATATATTTACGTATGTGTTCTTCCCGTCACTTGCGTTCTTACACGTTACCTAGGCGTTCAAAAACCGTTCCCACGACAATCCGCAGTTGCTTTTTGAGGGGAGTGAGTGACATGAGATGACCTTGTCGTGTCCATTACTTCAAGACCGAGGTCGGCGTCAACGAAAGGCGTCAGCGAACGGCGTCAGCGCGAACTGGTCTGGTTGGTGGCTTCAATCATCCCCAAGTAAAGGCTGACAAAACAAACATAATGTGTATATATATATATATGAAACCAACACCCAGTTCTGTTCTCAAAAGTGTGTTCATTCAAATTCTGCTTCTGCCTCTTGCGAGCGAATGCATGTGATTGTGCCCCCTCGGGTTAAACTGGGACCCAGTGCAGCTTGTGCTGCTGCTGCTGTTGCTGCTGCTTGCAGCGTTTCTTTTCTGAAAACGGGCTGAACAGTTTTGCCGAAATGAAGTTGGGCGGAGAAACGTCGAAGATGCCCTCTGCATTGACTCCCTCAATGTCTCTTGAACAAATGGGTTAACCATGGGTTATTATAACTTGTTTTCCATCTCTTCCGACCTCTCCAGCTATCTCATGATGGCATCACTATCGAGACTCATGACGGAGAGTTCGATGCTTCGAGGGATCGCACCACACCCCCCCGAGCTGGACAGCTGGACTTAGCTCCCGAAACGGATCCCTTGGAGGACATGGGGCCCCTTAGTTTGGGATCTGGATGACCAAAAACACATGAAGCACTAGACTACCCACTAGCATCTGGAGGCTAGTGGAAAACATCCACATGTTCGACCTATGCATGCGGCACGCGCGCGGCACGCCAGCAATTCAGCTGTTCTGCTTGTGCTAAGCCGAGAGGCATGTTGATGCAAACCAGTACCTTGGATAGGTCAATGAAGTTCTCTATGAGCATCTCAGGACCCGCTACAGTCGGGGTGGTTGATGGGTTTATGGACAGCCTTTTAATCCTCTTTCTTTGGACAGCCTTGATAGAAACCCAAACAGCTCCGGGGCGGTCTGTTCAGGATCCCAAGAAAAACTAGAAGGTCTGGTCCGGAGCATCTGCAAATGTTGAGGAACACCAACCGACCAGGACAACAAGCCCGTCTTCGTACCGGTGACCCCCCATGGGACCGCCCGTATACATGGGGCTCCACAGGAGGAGCTTTTACACGGGGATGATGATGAGGATGATGATGATGGAGGATGAGGATGAGGATGAGGATGATGATGATGATCTATGGAATCAATATGAATCAATCTTGCTATGGGCCACCAACCATGAAATCAAAAGGAGAGAGACTCCGGGGTTTTTTTGTGCAGGAGAGTCACCCTGGAACATTCACTTGAGCTCAAGGTTGGACCTTCAGAGGTCTAACTAGCTGCCTCAAGACTTCTTGCACCCACACCACGCCCACCACACCCCACACATGAATCCATCCAAGGTGCCTTCAAGCAAATGGAGAGCCACCAGGCAGCCTTCGAAGAGTCCGGATCATCCACAAGCTCCCAGAGAGATGCACAACGTCCACGGTAGACGAGCCGCATGATGGGCCGTGTCTCTTCATCTGGCTTTTCCAACCTGGCCCCGTTGGAACATCCACGACCGACCTGATGGTAGAGCTGTGTCCTGGCGACCTTTCGCTTCCTGTCTGGTCCTGTCTGGTGACCTAGGGTTGTCCAGCCAGGTCACCCCGAACGGAAGAAGCGAAGCAGCTGGTATAACCCATGTTCACTCTCTCTTGATCTCGCTATCTCTGCCTCTTTCTCTCTCCCTCTCCGTCGCCTTCTGATCAAAATCAAATCTGCCCCATCTAGGTTGGGAGGCAAGAAAAGAGGCCAAGCAGGTTCGCTTGGCGCTGCTTGCTAATTGCCCTTCTGAACCCTTCTCACTTTTCTATCTAAGCGTTGACTCCAAGTGCCACCTCGGTAGAGACCCTGGTCTTGCTCACTGGTCTATCTCTTCACGACTGGGAACGGCTGGTAACCCTTGCTCCCAGTGCGGTGGATGATGTATTCACTTGACAGAAAAAGCTTCAGAGCGACACACACGAAGAGACACCACCCTAAACGTAATGTAGACCCTTGACTAACAACCCCCCCAATTGAATTGAACAACCTCTTCATATACATGAGGTGGTTTGTGAAACCCGGAGTCTACATTGGTGGCACCCACATCGTGCTTCGATGCGTCTTCTTTTCATTCTCATCCCGATCCGACCCGAAGGAAGGCGATCCAACGAGCCAGCCTCATCTCCCGCGCATGGATCTGCCAGGCGATCTTCAAATCCACACCACGCACCGGCCGGAACAAGCGCCGTGGCTTCTCCTCCTGTGAGGCATGGCCCGGCCGTGACGGACGACGGACCATGGCGGTCTGTGAGGGCCAAGTGGATTGAGACGTGTTTGACACAGACATGCGGCAAAGCGTCATGTCAAGATGAACTGAATATTGATCGACTCTTGAGTGCACTTAAAACTGTCAAAGTGACAAAGTGAGAAAAAGGGTGTTCCCACAGAGCATTTTTTTCATGTTATACCGTTACTGAGCTGGTTGAGTTCCACAGAATCTCTAGCGAATGAAGGATCCAGAGGTGGTGATATTGCTCTTTACAATCCATATGCAGCAACATGCAACATTATTGAAAATCATCCCACATCCAAGATCAGTCCCCAAATCACTGACCCTTCCACCCTCCAAGCTCCCCCTGACTTAGATTTGGAGCTGCCCAGGAACCTGGACAAAATACCCCAGAAGGAGATTCAATCATATACCCAGTACATTTTAGTTAAGTACTTGTACTATATAAGGAACCGGGGTTTCTAGGTCTATGGTTGTGGTCTGTTACTGGATGCCCTTGGCAGCCGCAAAACCACTGTAGATGGGCGCCTTTCGAACCTCCAAAGCCTCGGCGTGTGGCAGCCCGCTGGGCCGCTGGTCCCGGAAGCTGACCATCTCCTGAGCTGGGAGGATGCCTTTGTGGGTCCAAAATACCGGCGCGTTCAGGAATCTTCAGGGAGCTTCCAAACCTACTAGAGATGGCCTCCAACCAGCAATGGCCTCCAACCTACTAGAGATGGCCAAATCTGGGTGAAAGGAAAGGGCTTCGGCTACTCACTCGGCACGGTCGGGCACCTGAAGCAACCGGTCTTGGACCTCCGGATGGGATGGTCAGGGTCTTTCTCCCCCCTTCCTCTGTGGGGGGAAGGGCCAGACTCTAACTAGCAGCTAGCAAATGGTTGCTCCCTCCTGTGCAGCTAGCTAGCTGAATCCTAGATTTGGCTCAATCCTCATATGTTCACGACAAGAATGAGGACAAAATGCTCAATGGCCCATGTTCTATAAAACTAATTCATGTCTGACTTAAAAACGCCTGCGTGCGAAGGATTTGACCAAACGGCCCCAGACCATATCCAACAATGGCTGTCCACTGTCGTCCAGTGCCTAGTAGCTCGGCCTTTGGAGCAACAATATAAATGACTCATGATGGCCGTCTCGCAATATCCCAAACACGACCTGCCTGGGACTGCCGTCTCGGACTGCCGACCCAGAGGCCGACCCTCCTCACACCACCCCAACTGGATCGGCAAAGATGGTAGTTCCATGGAGTGTCCTGACCTTCGTCGGGTAACCACGCAAGGCCACCCAGGGCCGAGCATCATTGCGGAGTGATGCCACCTGCAGGAGAGCTTTCATGCTGTCAAGAGCCCCAGAACTTCAACATAGTTCAACTAGCAAAACGGTTGGGGAACTCCCCTCAAGAGCCTCCTGGCTCCCTGTTGGATGGGGAATAGGATGGTGTTTCCAGGGAGATTTCCCCGGTTCCTGGTCAGCTTGGCTGCCTGAGCAACAGCTAGTCAACCTAGCTCAACCAGCAAGTGCTCGGTCGGGAACTCCCCTCCCGTGGTGGCTGGTTTGTAGGATCCGACCAGCGCTCTGCGACGCTGTCTTCACTCTGACCCGGGGAATTCACACCTTCCCACTCACCTTAGGCCCTGGCTTCCTGGACCGATTTCACAGCCAGAAGCCCTTCCTCATTCCTCAAGCTGCGTGATCCCAGTTAGGTCGTTGGCCAAACCAACTCTCCAAGAACAATGCCTCCTTAAAAAGGACTCCGAACGAAGGTGGTCATGAAGGTGTTAAGCACATTGCTGATCCCAACGCCCCCGACCCACCGAGGAGTTCCCGGAGCTGCGGACGCACCGACCGACTTCGCCGCTGCGTCCGCCGCCTCGGACCAGGTGGAGTGTCGAGACGGCCGCCCCTCGCGCCACGCCTGGGCGGTTGATGTTCCCTTCATGAACGAAAAGGCTTTTGATGGGTATGATGATGGGTTACCACATGACTTAGACATCTTAGATACGATAACCAAAAAAAACATAATAGATCTTAGATAAATCGTATAAAGATATCTTATAACGGAATTATAACATAATAATACAAATATAATATAAGCATATATAGCTACCTTTTTTGCTGTGCTTGGGGTGTCCTGCGGGCTACGTGAGTGAACAATCTGAAAATAGCTGAACCCCGAACGACAACGAATCTCTCATGAAACAAGGCCATGTTCCATTACTCTATGCCTTTTCGTCTCAGATCAAGACTCACCCACCAGCCTCTTATAAGAAACAACTTCTGCCTTATGACTTATGCAAAATCCTGCACATTCCCCAAAATGGATGGCCGGTTTCTGGGTCTTCAGCTTGGTTTCTGGGTTTCTTGGGGCTGATGCTTCTTGCCTCATCCCACCGCGCGATGCCCAAACACCCCGGCGCACACGCTGATCGCCCGTGCCGCTTCACGCCTCCCGACGCAGATCGCCCTCGCTGGCGGGGCGGAACCTCGGGTGGTCTGCGTCAGGTGATATTACCAGGGAGTCAGGGGGGGGCACCCAGTCCCCTAGAACACCCAGTCCCAAAGTACTATAGGTGTCGGGAGTCCCAGTGGTTCCGAAGGCTGAAACCATAGGGAGGGCACCCAGTCCCAAACCAGAGCTGCTGGGAGTCCCAGTCCCAAAGACTGACCACCAGTTCGACCGGTTCCGAGGGCCCCTGGTTCCTTACTACTATAGTGGTTTGCCTGGGATCCACTGGGATGTGATATGGATCTTCCAGACACGACCCGTCTGGGACTGCCATATTATGACGCCCGAGACCAGGCAAGGCCAGCGCCAGGGGTTTTTCATTGCGGGGTCAATGGGTTGGCATACTGGTCGGCATCCATGGCAGTCCCAGACGGGTCGTGTCTGGGATGTGGATCAGGGTTTTGCTGAAGATGACCATCTGCAAATTGACCACCTCATAAAGGGTCCGGGTAAATGAAAGTTCAACCGCCAGGACCTTCTCAGTGACCTCTTCAGGATTGGTAGATTCAAGGCCGTTTCGTGACCTCAGCCACTGGGATCTCAAAAGGTCACTGGGAAGGTCCTGGCGGCTGGCTTTGTAAACAAAGGTTTCCTCAAACTCAACGGCCCGTGCTACGAAATCCTCCAACAAGGAGGTATATATCGGAATGCTACGATGAGGTGCCAGAGATCGATCTGCATCTCTACTGCGGGAGAGAAAAAAGACTTCAGGGAAGCCCACGCCACCAGGGCACAGTTGCGGCAGGATGGAGGCTCCCTTGGGAGGACATTGTAGTCCCGAGAAGGGCCTCGAAAGACGGCTGGTGACCGAACACGCGGGACAAGTGTGGAACAATGTGGAACAATGTGGAACAAGCGTGACTGGCTGGTGGTGTCAAATGTTTTGAACGAAGTAATTAGTTCCTAAATGTTACTGTTACTAATTGTTAGTCAGTGGGTTCAATAATCCCAGGTAAGGGTTGACCGTGAACATCTCTGAAAGCAGCACCCAGATGAAAGCGCGCATCCGCCCATATCTGAGGTGTGCCTTGGGACATGTTGGTCCTTGAGGCTGAGGATCTCGAACAAGCATGCATCCACCTGGGGATGGGCAGATAGAGGGCGGATCGTGACTGATTCAAGGGGACGTGAGTCTTTTAGGGTCACCGGGTCACCAAACGGAAAGGGCGACCCTGGTGCACCAAGTGAATTGACTAGGCTACACAGTTCGTTTGAGAGGAATAGAGGGGCCGGTTCCTCGTACCATTTATCTATTGAATCTATTGGTTGTACACGACCCCGGGGGTATCCCCTCTAATTATGAATCGACCAATGGTAAAAGGTAATCTATGCAAACCTGGTGGGCCAGGGTTCGAGGTTGATTCCCACCCCTTGATTGATGGGCCCATGCTTACCGACTTCTGATCCTACTAAGGCGGTGTCGCTCGTGCTTTCCGCTCAAATCTAGGCCTTCCAGCAGAGCTTGATGGATTGATTCATAATCCCTTTGCCTGTACACACAATACCTGTTACGATATGACTTTTCTGTTGGGGTGTATCTCAGACTGGGTGGCCCAAAGAGGGAACTCCAGGAATAGCCTCCACAAAGGGAACACCAAGAGTTAACAGGTTAACATGAGTTAAGTAGACATCTGAAGACTGGATGTCCTTCATCTTCAAAGATGTTCTTCCACCAAACCAAACCTCAGCAGCATTCAGCAGCATTCAGCGCGCCTGGTTGGCAACTTGATCTAACCGCGCTTCCAGGCCCGAGAAGAGCTGGGCAATGGATTCGCTAAGAGCTGCCCCATCCTGCTGCAATGATGCTCCCAAAGGAGGATCCACTCAGGATGCAGTTCAAGAGTGAAACACCCCCCCCAAGCATGGAATGGTTTTACAATCCGTATGGGATATAACTTATAGCTATTAGATAAATGTTTATTTGCTTATCATTGCTTATCTACATCTATCAAAGAGTCCCACTTGACACTATCCCTGTGAGTTCTCTCTCTCGCCTGACGTCGAAATCTGCCCCAGCGAAGAATGTTTGAGGCAAAGGTTTTCCATCTTCATCGATACACCCGGAAGAATCATGGAAGTGGAAAACCATCGGAAATTCATGGAAAACCACCCCTGTTCATACAGGTGGTCAAGGTCTTCCAAAAACCATGCCCGCCACGTAACCATAAACATTCCAGGAAGTGTCAATTTGTATCACATTTAGCCACTAATTAGAGCAGTGCCAACTGAGCACGACACGGCAAAAGCTCCTCCGCAGAAGACATCGTCGGGCGCGGAGGCGGCGCGGGTTGTAGCGTCTGTTTGAGCCCAAAGTGGTGTGACGACACAAGGGAAGCTGTCCTTCAAAGTAGCGATTTACCCGTAAATATCTGTTAAATGGATCGGTTCTAAAGTAAATGGGTCGGTGACGGTGGGATTTAGCATATTACCAAGTGTCTTGGAAGTAGCAATTGCACCACCCATCGAACTTGGGGATTTACAGATCCGTGGCGCACTGTATCCGCAGATCCGCGGCGCATGGACTGACAGTCTCACCCCACCATGCGCCACCCGCCAACACCCCGAAACCTCGCATCCGCGCGTGAGAGAAGCATCGCGCGGGTGGCACCCTGAAGGGTGGCTGACATGATGATCAACTTGAAATCCGCCAACTTGTGCTGGATGCTGGCCGATGCTGGGACTATGCTGGCGCGTGTGAGATTTCTCAAGACCCCTCACGTGAATGCGTGCGATGCAAAATGTAATGGTTGGCACTTCCTGATCGGGAGTCAGGGGAGCCAGTCACAGTAACACATGACCACTTGCGGACCTCAATCTGAACGCTCCCCCATGCACTGTCCAGGGGGCAAAACGGTAGCTACCGGGTGGGCGACCCACGGGTTCCAGGTGGGCGACCCATGCCGCACCTGACTGCCAACACCGGTTCACCGTACTGTCCGTGGGTTGACCCCTTACTTCCCCCCGTGGATCCACGTACCTCCATGGGTAGGAACTCGTGCCCAGTACCGAAGCAAACGGTGCGATTGGACCGTCGAGACGGTTGGACCCGTAGCTCCGGGTCACGACCGCCCAAACGATGCCAGGGAGAACTGGAGCTTCAGCACGAGCGAGAGCAGGTCGGCATCCACGGATCGTTCATGCGCCTGGACAGCCAGGCCAAGTAAGGCCAGGTCAAGACGGCCACATGATGTAGGTCTGAGTCATACGACCCCCCGCGAGGCTGGGAGTCAACTAACTTCTTCATATGGGGGAGTTATTGGTCTTGATGAATATAAGCTTCCCCTAATTGAATTGGAATTCCTGTTCATAATGGGGGTCTATATTAATCAAGATCCTATACAGTAGGTCGGACCATGAGTGGAAAGACGATCAGTTCCACTTTGGCAAACGCGAGATAGGTCGCTTCGAGTGACCCGGCTCCCGGTCACTCGAACTGGATACGTCGCAGGGTCGCGCTTCAGCAGCAGCAGCGTTTCGCGTTTCTTCATGTGGGAGTGGTGCTTTAGACCCCAAGTGAGATCTACTAACAAAGGTCAAAAGATGTCAAAAGGCCTTAGAGGATCATTTGTCCTCAAACATGGTGTTGGAGGACGTGTCCTATAGAAGTAGGACGACGTAAACTCCTACTGACCTCCCAAGGCCCAAGGTGAGTAGATGAAGCACGCCTGCACCTGATGGAATAGATTGACAGGTCCGCCGGTCCGCCTCACTAACCATCACCGCCCAGGTGATGAACATCTGCGAACGCCATCCATGGAGGTACCGCCGTCTGCCTACTAATAGTACTCGATTTTGTGCCATCCAATAGGTTTGTAGAACTTGAAAGGTCTGTAGATGTTTTGATTGATTTAAGACCATATGTTAAATTAACTACAGAACTTTCAAGGTCTTAGACTGCAGACCTATTGCAGTCTAAGATTAAAATATGGTCTTTCCCGGACACCAGGGCATTCCAAAGCAGGTCACAGTGTCACAGTCAGTCAAGCAATCGCATCTTAAACACTCAAACGCCTAAGTACGTGGTGTCAGAGTAGATGGCGCTATCCCCAAATTCGGTGGTGCCATCGAACCTTCCTGAAACCACTGCACAATCCTGCATCAATTCCGAATCAAATCCCTTGACTGCAAGCATTCCGCCCAGTAAAAAAACATGCAGCTCTCTATTTTTTTCCACCAGCAGCTCGGCTGCCCCTGCAGCTCCTCTCACAGGAATCCCAGCCTCGGACGACTGAAGGATAGCACAACGAGTATATACCAGCAGTCACGGACTCGACGGGGTAGGAGTTGGGTGTCTATGATCCACTCCACGGCCCCTGGATGGGATTGAACACCACACCACCCCTTCTTCGAACGTGACCTTTGGAATACTCCTGGTACTGAAAGTTGAAAGAAACCTTTCATGCAATCCCAACATCATGCCTTTTCCTGCTTATCTTGTCAAGATAAGCAGGAAAAGGCATGATGTTGGGATTGTATGAAAGGTTTCTTTCAACTTGAAAAGCTTGGACCTACAGCATCCAAATGATCCAACTCTTCGACCGATGCTTAACGCGATGCTTCTCTCCCAAGCTGCACATCATCCCAGCAATCTTCGACCGCTCCACGGCTTAAGGCAGCGGCCTTAAGAAAAAGCGTCTTAACTGTAGCTGAAGTCTTTGAACAGACTGAAGAGCCTTCATGCACGAAAAAGGCTTAAGAGTCTTTGAACATACATGAAAAAGAGCCGTCATGCACGAAGTCTTTGACTGGGCTGACCCCTGTGGCAATGACTTTCTCCTCTGCTACCGGGGATCGTGCCTGCCGCTCGTTGGTTGAACAGCTGGTTGTGGTTGATATGTTGTTGGTTGTAGGCATCAATTATGTGAGAATGGAAGCCCCAGGGCATCCAGTTACCACTATAGCCTATAGCTGGTAACCAGTGGTTCCAAAGACTAAAGCTGTAGACCTAGAATCCCTGGTTCGCTGGGATCCACTGGAAGCATGTTCAGAAAGGATTGTGACTCGTGACGCAACAGAGTGGTTGAACTTTGGAGTTCTTCCCGCGTTTCATGGAGCTATCCACGATGGTTGGTCAACACTGCGACCAAGAAGAACTGCCAGGTGACAATCGTTTTCGGAAGGGGCAAACGAGGTCATTATAGCCAAAGCGCTTGGTCCTTCTTGAGGTACTCTTCCAGATCCGTCGCCTCAAAATCGGCAGGGACAAGCAATCCTGAGGGCCTGCAGGCCTCTCTTCAGCAACTTCGATGGTTCTTACATCTTCCCATCTAGCTTCAACTCCGCCAATTCGTCTTTTTTTTCAGTGGTGCTGGCATGTGCCATATTGAAGACTGTGGAAACGAACGGCCTGGGTGCTCACGGTCACATACTCCAGTGCCACTCCACGCTTCTCGGCCTCAAGGGAAATGGAAGCCTGATCATTTTTGGGGTTCCTGGGCGCTACAAAGCTGGACTCGTCTGTAATATATATATATATATATTATATATACCCTAGGGCTCCAAGACCTCCTCAGGTTCGGTGTTTGGACCCGAACATGGCACCCACCCCAGTCCCAGGTACGACTGGAGCCCTAGGGATATATATATATATATATAATCGGAATCCACTGCACATCTCGGACATGAAAAGAACCAAAGCTTCCAGCTTGAGCCACTCAGTAGACTTTTGGGTGGAGAAGAGGCACTGCCAACTCTCCAAGCCCCAGAGCAAAACCACCCCACGTGTTAAATTCATCTGGTTGGTGGTTTCAACTCCCTTACAAAAATAGATTAGTATGAATTAGTCAGTAGGTTTCCCAGGTAAAGGTTTAAAGTCGAACTGTCCGAAACTGTGAAAAAAAACAACTCACCATGTCCCTTAATGGGCATCTCGCCTGGCCATCCCACTCCAGAAGAGAACAAGAACACACAAATCTTTACACCACCACAACTGCTCGCTCCAACGCTCCGCGCACCTCCTGCGCCGCCTTCTCGCTGTTCAAATCCTCCGAGAGGACCTTCAGGATGAAGGGCGTGGACGTCAAGTTCGGCTGCGGCTCATGGGTCACAAAGGCGATCCACAACACTCGCACCTACGGAGACACCGGAGGATCGGATCGGATGCGGTCGGGAAGTTCGGGTTCACTTTCCGTCTCTGTTGGGTGTTTTGCACCTCGTGTTTTTTCGAGGACGAGGATGGATTCGGAAGGCCGGAGCCCGACCAAAGCACCGAAACGGCCGAACTGGTTGTTTTTTTGGGTCCGTGGTGACTGGCCGAGTCGAAGAGACATATTCATGTTGACTGAAATTCACCCAAAGAGGGCTTTGGCCTCCAAGACCTCTTTGTTGCGCCACGGACGACCTGGTGGAAGGAACTTTCCCATCAGCATGCCGCCAGGATGCTGATTCCCTCTCATTCGCCGGGATGCTGATTCCCACAGGGGGATGGCCAAGAAACAATGGCGCCTTATTACTCTCTATTACAAATACATACTTACGCTTTGGGTCTATCCTAATAATTACCTGTAACAGTGGATGATGATGGTTAGTAAAGGCCTTGTTCAAAAATAGTAATAATTGTTTACTGACTGCTACAGGTAAGAACGGACAGACCCTACTTATGCTATTGAACGGGTGCACACATCATCCAACAGAATCCTCCCGCAGGCAGAAAAGGTGCGGAATTGGAGTTCTATCCTATTTCCAGGTTTCAGTGGATGATGATGGTTCAGTTGCAGGCCTTTCCATTTCTAAATATCGTGATGTTCGGACGGCTCCTGGTAGGAACATCCAACTGAAACTGGGATTGTGCTTTCTTCTTGCGCTTCTTGGCACTAGGCATCCACGAATCCCATGCCTATCTTACCCTTTCTGGCCGCTGGCTGAGTCTGACTGAACCGCGACGGATTCCAATCAGAAGGGCCAAACATGCTCCAACTGAACCATCCCTAGGGCTCCAACTACCTCCCGAGGTTCGGTGGTTGGGTGTAGACCCGCACATCCGGACTCCGGAGCTGGAGATGTCTTGAACGCTCGGAGTCCGTGACGTTTCTGGTTTTGAGTGGGGGGGCCACATGCGTCGCCCATGAAGCGTCCATGAAGCGGTTTTTCAGGTGGTCCACCCCCCAGGCTGGGTAAGAGAAAAGTTCCAGAAAGAACATGGATAGGACCATGATGGGCCCATGAAGCAAATGCCATGCAATGCAAAGGCACCTGCCCGTCAGAGCCCAGAACTAGCACAAACCTGAGCCGCGTCTGAGCTGTGCGTGCGGGAAGAGGTTTTCTGATGCTCCGCCATGTCGCACCTTTGAGTCAGACTTGAATGATCCTGAAGGTATATTGTAGGTGCAGTGGTTGGATCATGGGTCCAACACACCGAAAACATCAAAGACATTCATGACAAACTGCACTGGGACCATGGACCAAATTTCAAGTGGCCATGTTCCTCTCGCACAGTTTGAGGAAGCCGGTCGCATGGCTGATAGACCCCAAATCCCAGGTGTCTTCCATCACCATCCGATCAACAGCTGAAATCCTTCAAAAAAAACGTATCACCATCGATCGCCTCTCCCACAACCTGCTACCGGTGCTGGCAGTGGCTTCGGGTCGGACCGTGCTGCTTTTTCCACTGATATGTGCACGTCGAATACAAGTGAACAGCTCTCATGACCTCGGTTAAGAGGAGCAAGAAGGGTGTTGCGGTCAGGCCATGTATCTCCCTAAGGATCCGCATCCTCAAAAACAAGGGTTTGGTTCGGGTACAAACCCTTGTTATAGAGGGCTCGACCCCCTGCCATGGAGGGTCCGTTCGGATTCTTAAGTGCTGGTCCAAATGCCTTCTGAAAAGATGCAATACCATGCAATGATTCTGCAACGTTCCTACAGCCAAAAGAGAAAAATCGTTCCACCTCCAAAAAAAAGAACACAAAAGGTCCGGTCCAAGACTCCTCTTCTCTTCTCTTCAGAAGACCTCGTAGATGAGCTCGCGGAGGGCCAACAAGGTGCTGATGACCACACCCAAGGAGACAATCCCTGAGATGAAGGACTTCCGGGTGCTCAACTGGTCCTGGACGCAGCTGGTCGGCTCGGCTCGGACGACTTGACTCAGGGCCGGTGGACGACTTGACTCAACCCCCTTCCCCCATAAGGAGCCCTCATGATCTAAGTACCGAACCTCAGGTACGGTGAGGACGGAGACACTGTGATGTAGGTTTGGAGGGTCCAAGATGGTCCAAGTACCTTCTGAGAAGATACGACGGGATTTTCGTAGGGGAGAACTATCCTGGTGGGGGAGGGTCTGAGGGTCGTTTCGACAGTCACCATTACAACGCACCAGTACTGACTGGCGACGCTCAACTGACACCACGTTTCATGCTTCTGCTTCTGCTTCTGCTGACGCAGCTTGCCCCATGGGATCCGCCATCCGCTGTTCCGGTTGTTGATCTCCCAGATTTGTCATGCTGTAGACGAGGCTAAGCGACTGAATGGTTTTGTTTGTCTGCATGGGTTCGGTTTTGCAATGTTTTGCTTCCCTTCTGCTCGCTCCCATCGCTGAGAGCTACAGGGACAGGCAAACCATGAGGCGACAAATCTACCTGTGCCAGGCTGCCAGGCTTCCGCTCGACCTCTCGACCTCTCGTGGTTTGAACGCCGCCCTGGGACAAGACCCAGTTCACGGTCCTGTAGGTAGTGCACGGTCGAGGTGCCTGCATAGGACGAGACCCAGTTCACCAAGCCATACAAGAGCATCAAGGACATGATGATGCGATCCGTCAACAAGTATCTCAGGCGGTCGGCCGTCCCGTCCGCCGAGTCGAGGGCCACGGCAGATCGAGGGCCACGGTCGTGGCGTTTGAGGATGTTTGAGGGTCCGGTCGGTCTCGATGTTCGACGAGCCTGGGTCTTATGTGACGTCTACTGTTGAGCTCGTTTGAGTGCTAGATCAGATCCCAACATGATGAGCTCCACCTCCGACAGACCTCCGACAGACCAACCGCCTCGTGGTAAGTCCACGACCTGCATACAATGTCTGGGAAGTGGCCCTCATTCCCTGCTTCTTCAGTCCCAAACACTCCATGTACCCCCCCCACCACCACCACCGGACTGTCGAGCAGTCGAGCGGCTGGAAGGTGGTCGACGAGGAGGTGTAGATCACACAAGTGCTGGAGGTGGCGACCGCCACGGCAGGGTCCAAGCCCATGAGAAGGAAGTAAGGTGAGAAGATCAATCCTCCACCTAGACGAAAACTCGACGAAACACCAACAACATGAGAATCAACAGAATTCAAAAGACCGTTTCATTGCATATATAGGGCTTTTTCTCGTTGCATGTGGTCCAGGGATTTCTGTGGTGGCTTAGAATCAAAAGGAGTGAAACCCATTCATCTCCCAGGTGGGCTTGAGCCTTCTCACGTATGAACCTGATTCCTCAAGCTACGAAAAAGTTTCTCATGTGGCTCTGCCTGAATTCACGAGCCCATGACAACCCACGAACCCATACCTTCCACCGCTACGAACCCGACGGCATTCTGGTGGCTTGATGAATTCCCTAGGGCTCCAACCGTCTCCGTTTCGACGATGGTTGGGGTGGATGCCAGCGGGGGGGGTCGAAGACCACCAGTCACCTGAGGAGTCCTGGGGCCTATGGATTGATGAATCTAATCCACATGACATGAACGTTTGGTAGGGCAGGGTCCATCTTGTCGATGTGCGGGGGAGGCCCCCCTGGTGCCCTGAACCGGCCCCCCTTCCGGCTGCCCACCCAAATCCTGGAACTTCCGAGCGGGGCGGAGATCATCGCGTCTCTAGGTGTCTATAGGCGTCTCAAAGACAATCCAAAACAGGGAGAGCAACTAAATCAACATGGTGTCCTACCTGTGACGTTCCAAAGATTTCCAAAGTATGAACCTCCCTCAGGACTCAGGGGTCACAGACAACCACCGAACATAGGCCAGTTCTCCACAAATCGAAGCTGGATGCCATGTAAGAAGAATGACATCCTGTGAAACCTGGATATCTCTGGATGCTTCAAAGAATTCATTCACCACTCCACAGAACAAGTCCATTCATATCCATTCCAAAGAACCAACTGAGATTAACTTCCCAACACCAAATATTTAAAAACACGAACTGCAAAGAACCCGGAGAAGAATAGAAGAACCGGAAACCCCTTGCGCCAGACTGAGTCGGAACACCGAGTTCCAAGTGCTCCTGAAAACCGGCTGAAGAAAAACAAACACACCCCAAAACCACCAACACCGGGGGGCCCCAACCGGTTCCGGTTTCCGTTCACCGCGGCACCGATGCCCACAAAGCCGGCGAGGCAGCCGGTGGTGACACTCATGAGTGAGAACCTCGGTGAAACCGGCGGTGGGGAACCAAAGGAACGATCTGTCACTCAAGACGGATTTGTTCGCTTTTATACGTCTCCGGAAAAAAAGGGGTCCGAAGCAATTCGTCTCCATATCCAGTCATGTCCGAGTTATACCTAATATAGGGCCTCTGTTTCTATATCTTTGTCAGATCTTCTTTCCATGTGGTTTTCCGTGTTCCCGGCCGCGAGTCGTGGCCGGAGGGAATGAGCGATGAAGGACCCCCCCCCCTTAACCCCCTTAGGATCCAGATCTGACCAGTCGGATGTTGCACCGCACCAGGTCCTTGAGATCGCCCACACATGAGGAAATCACCCGAAGGTAGGTCACGAGATCAGGTCCCTCAGGTTCGGTGTTGACACCCTCCACATGGCACCCACCCCAGTCCCACCGTACCTCAGAAGGTACGACTGGAGGCCTAGGGGTCTAGAAAAAGTGACGAGGTGCAGGAAAGAATGTATAGAAGAGGTGCTCAAAGTAGCAACCTGGCAACCCATTGTTCCATTCCTATTCCCCCCGAACCGCTTGAGAGGTGCTTTTCATGCATGGTCCTTGAACGGAAGATCTCCCTCCTTGGCCGCAAACCAAGACACTTCAGAGTCAAAGCGGGAGACCAATTGGCCTTCACCAAGGTCGTTGCCACGCCCGCGAGGATGGTGATGCAAAAGATCAAGGGCCCAATGAAGAAGAACACCTGCAACAGCTTGCGATCTTGGGACGTGTTGGGACCTCTTTCCAACGTGGGTGGGCCATCAATCTGCGTCCGGGCCTCGGCTGCTGGGCCCAACGAGTTGGGGCGTGTGCTTGAACCGAAGATGTACAACCCTCGTGGACTACAACGTATGGTGATGGCTCGAACATCTTGGTACGTGGTATGATGTGGTATATACGGTATATGTATCACCCACATCCAACAGGATCGAACCACTGGATGCACCCGATCAAACCTAGCTGAAACCATCAAAGCACACCACTGTTTCGACACATGAAGCCCCTAGACTTCCAAGACCATTAAAACAATGGTTGACCTGGTTTTTGCAGTGTAAAATCCTTAGTTGATTCGGTAAAGCCTATTATAATATATATATATATATATATTAACATAATTATACATAATTAACGCTTGTTGGAAGCCTAGGGAGTCACTCGGGGTCGGCCTTGATGAAGGCTGCAGTGCTGGGCGTCTGCATCCAATCACTCAAGGTGTCTCCGCTCAGCCTGCGGTGGTCCAAACGGTCGTACGCTCTCGCGTAGAAACGCACGAAACGCCGCTCGCTGGAAAGCATCATGCGGGTAAAACGGGTATCCCCCCGGCCGCATTCGGTGAGCGCGGCATGAAAGCAAGAAGAGGAAACAAGAAGACAACGGCAACTCTCACTCAAAAGCATTATACATGTTTCTAGGGCTTGCCAAGTCACCAGAAAAGGCTGGGATGATGACATGCCTTCAGCCGCGTCTCCACATCCACAGCCTCCTGACACTTGAGGGCATGGTGACGAAAGGCGCTTCCACTGACCACTACCTGGGATTGGAGAGTCAACGGCTTTCGTCGCTTTCGGCGAGTGGTGGGTCACAGTGAATGACCTGCGGCTCGATCGACAGGTGCCTCGATGGCCTAAGTGACTAAGTGAAAGGGTCTGGATCGATGCTTTAGGACTTGGACATGGAAAAAACATGAAACAAATCATGGAATCCCGATGAACCTGCAAGAAATCACCAGCTATTCGATTCATTCTATTCAGTCTTGGGAATAAACACCTGGTCACACATCTGGAATTTTAAACCAGTAGCAAGGAGCAAGCCTCAAAAAGCATCTATATACCTATACCTATACCGTACTGAACTCATCATGGTTACGTGGATGGCAGGGCCCGAAGTGGCCCGACGGCCCGAAGGCCACAGTTGGCCCGTTTCACAAACAGTTCTTTCTCCGGACTCTCGCGCATCGGAGTTTTCAAGGGCCCCTTTTCAAGTTGGGCCTATGCACCCCCTATCTCAAAGGGTCTCTAATGGGCTCTGGTCAGGGTGTCCCTGGTCTATCGCAAATAGAACCCCCCTCCAGACATGGAGTGTAAAAGCTCTTCACAGTTCTAATATACCAGGACCATCCTGTCTGGGTCATCTGGCTGGACTACCCTCCACTACTTGGGGATCTCCAGACTGGACTACCCAGACAGGATGGTCCAGGTATATATATCTTTAGGGCTCCAGTCGTACCTCCTCAGGTTCGGTGTTTGGGCCCGAACATGGCACCCACCCCAGTCCCACCGAACCTCAGGTTCGGTACGACTGGAGCCCTAGGGATATGGAAGGTTTGCATGACTGGTCGAGGGTCGAGGGCGGCCCGGGGCCCTGAGACACAGCATTAAATAAGTGACGAGCGCATCACATGGTGACGTGGAACATGGTCCCGAAAGGAAAACGACTTTCCACCAACAGGGGGGTGAACTCCACGGAACATGAGTCGGAGTGTAACACGTACGAAAAAAAATCAGTCATCAGGCTATAAGCACGGCTAAGCTGCAAAAAGCATGACAAAGGACAGGAGAAGGTCGGTGGTTGTATATTCCTGCACTTCTTGTGACTTCCATACCGCCGTCACTTCTGGCACCTCTTTGGCATCACGGCCTTCGAAGTGGGACTTGGGTAACTGCGGTAGGCGTCGGATATGCTCTTCCTCTGCGTACTGCTGCCAGGTGGTTTGAAGGATCATGTAGGAGATTGCGATGAGGATGCCAACTAGAGCCAGCAATACCGCCCAACCCGGCACAATGGAGTTCAGAATCACACCGATATACGTTCCGACCAATGCCCCCGGCACCACCAATCGGCACACATTGTAATCGATCAAGGAATCCTTAGGAGAATTGCGGAACCATCGGAACCCAAACAAATAGCACATATTCACCAGAAGGGGGATTTACCGGCATGATTTATCTTATCCATAGGGGAAAATATGGAAAAGTATATAAAATCACCTGATCAGCCCAACTCCAGGAGTCTCTGGTGGAGCTGGCCTTCCTCAGGTTCAGGAAGAGCGATGCAATCGATCCGATGAAGACCACCGACTTCGACAGCGGCACTGCATCTCGTACCCTTAGGCCACCCGCCACCATGAGCACCGTGACATAGATTCCACCACCACCAATGCCTCCAGCAGCACAAAGGACACCAGCGGCAGCCATGACCATGCAACAATTGAAGGCATCTGCACTTTGAATTTGTTGAGTGTCGAAGACCCAAAAGGGTCGAGCCGGACCAGCGTCGTTTTCATTCTCGGGAGGTTGCATGATGAGCTTTCCTTCTTCAAGCTCATGATTCTTGGGCTTCATAGCCGCACTGAGACATAGTAGAGCAAGGGCAGGGTACACCTTCCATATCCGCATCTTCGTGGTACGCTAGCGGAGCGCCCAAAGGAGATGGGCTGCTGAATTATCCTATCAGGACATGGCGCAGCTTGTGTTGAGCCTAGCGCCTCCGGTTTTCAGAAACAGCATGGCAGGGGAAGAACACAGATCGTTTTTCAGGTGTTTTTCAGGATTGTCCCACCCTTTCCAGTCAAACCGAAGTGACTTTTCGGTGGCGTCTTCTGTTTCATCCAGCCACGGAATGGAAGAACCAATTCGGTTCAGGTGATCCACGGCTTCCCACTCAACCGAACTGATATGATTGGACCATCTCCGGTTGCACAAACACGAGTCGCGGTGGAGCGGACCGGTGCACTTGCTGTCTGTGTGTGTTGTCTTCTCTCCCGTTTTCAAAGCGTGTTTGTCTTGTGGCGGTGTAGCTCTTAGTGAACCTGCATGTCATGCTTCTATACCTTGAGGCCGGCGTCCTATCTGACATTCAGACAAGCAGCTTGCTCTGAGGAAAGAGAGGCGGAACCTGATGTTCAACAGGAGGTTCCCGCGGCGAAAGCCAAACATTCCACCCTAAGTATATCTAAGAATCCAGGCCCTCAAACACATAGGGTTTTGAGGGTCAGGACCCCTGCCATGGAGGGCCCGTACGGATTCTCAGGGCAAAGCCTATCCGGACTCCCGAGCCATATTTCTTGGAACGTGAAGGTCTCCCTGAAATTATGAAAGTGGATGGCATGGCCCCTTGGATGACCATTTTACTCTACAAACAGATGGTTTTCTACTTGAGGGAAAGGAGCCAATCCCCCAAAAAGGTTTAAGTCACTGACTGGGTAGGCATCCCTCTACAGGTGCTGTTGCCGCTGTTGATGTTTCTTGATGATGTCGCGGCTTGGCTGGGTGCTCGGTGGGGGTTCGGAGGAACAGCGGCCCAGTGATGGGGAACCACCTACTTCCGCCAGCCCCCACAGGGGGAGCCAACACAGTGGTGCACTGGCTTAGTTCGTGCTTCCCTGAACTATTCAGTATGCCTTGAAGTGGCAACACATTGCCCTGATCCCCAGATTTCAAGCACGGTTGTTGATATGTTATACTGTCGGGATACTATCAGTTTGGCTCTTTCCTCAAAAGCGCTCTGGTGGCATGCACAGAGTTGCTTTTATGCATTTCTCTGCGTTTCTGCATGCACAGGCAAGCACATCACTTCAGAATGATGTGATGGTTTGCTGGGTTTTGTTTCCTTCAGTCCTCTTTTTGGCTGCCCTTCCTGCAAACTGAGAAACAACTGATTCCCTGACCATGGGGCATATCCTGTGCTACGAGCTCAGGCCGATTTCCAGATCGCTTTTGTCTGCTTTTTAACTGGTGGGATGGGGGTTTGGAGCGCCATTCTGCTGGCTGTGCGTGTGCCTAGCTCCGGCAAAAGAACATCGAAAGTTGCAAAAAAAAGTAAACCCTAGAGATCCAAGTACCTTCTCAGAAGGTGTTTGGGCTTCCCCCAAATCCGGGCTGACGGGCTGCCACTAAAATTGCCCCGACATGTGATATAGTAGATGTCGTCGCCACTCTTGCCGGGTTTGCAACTACCTGTCAGTCGGTTTGCTACATGGTGGACCTCCAGGTGGGTCACAAGCCATCTCCATAGAAAAAGAAAAGAAGGACTGACTCCAAAAGTCCAAGAACTATGTGAACTATTCGCTTGGCCAAATGCAAATCAACCTCCTCAGCACCCTAAGGTGCCAACAAATCACCCAATAAAAGGACCCGACGCGGCAGTTCTCCCAGAACTTTCCGGGCCACAAGAATGGAGGAGCCACATGCATTTCCACATGCTCTTCATCTCCTCAACTCCCCAGACCAACCGAGAAAAACGCCCGTGGGACCATCATCGCCAACGGCGGCACCTTGTGCTCCATCGCAAAGCGGAAGCCTTCGGTGGCCGCCACTAAGGCCACCACGCGCTCTGCCAATTGCAGCTGGCAGGTGCATTTCAGCTGATCATTCAACCAAACCTCAGGGCTCAATGCTGCCATGGAGAATCTTGAACAGTTAGCTCCCTGCTCCCCTGTCCCGACAACATGTTGGCTCGATGGAGGGTTATGAGATGATCTTCGGGCCAGCAAGATGATCTCCGGTAGTAGGGTCCAACCCCCCGGCCCCCTGCTTCCATGCTAGCGATATCACCCTAAGAATCAAGGACCCTCAAAGGTGAAGGTTTGGTTCGGGTCCAAACCCCTGCGTTCTGCAGGGTCCAAACCCGCCATAGGAGGGTCCAATGATTCTTAGGGCCGGAACAAGTATCTCAAGTGGAGGGGAACCAACAAGCTGTGTTTTTCCCAGAACTTCTTCGACGAAACCCGTCCACTGCTTGCTGGCCAAAAGTAGCTACTGGTAAGTGCCGGACGCAGATCGCCCAAAGAAGATGGTCGTCCAAACTTGTCACAACCAGTTTGTAGGGACATAATTAGGCCCATGTGAGTGAGCCACGGCCAAAACCTAGCAAAAAGACACATCAAACAAATTCGTCTAGCTGGTACTGTTTCGACCGGTCATCCCAAATGGCTGGGGGCCTCCCACGCCGCGTGAAAAAGGTTCCCGCCGGTCATTCTGCGCAGTCAAGAGTCTTTGAGCCTTCGCCGGTGACCAACGGAGGAGCCGGCGAGGGTGGAGACTCCATGGGGTGGAGACTCCACGGTGGATGGAGACTCCAGTGGATGGCACCACGGTGGATGGCTAGGCTCATAGGTCTTCGGGTTTCATGGTCCTCCGGCCATGTCCCATCTACTTCCACCATGTATGCTTCCAGGGAGTCTAAATCCCCAACACTGCAGACACGGGGCCATGCCACCCACATTTCCATGGATAATTTGAGGGAGTACACCTGGACATGTAACAAACATGCCAGGACTTTCCAACACGTTGCCTCCAGAGCCGGAGAGCCTCTTTGGAGAGCCTCTTTCAGGTGCGCTGGAGCCAATAAACGGAAGATGGTCCTCTACAAATTGGGACGTCTCCACATTCCTCTTTCTTAGGTAACGGACAAAGCAGGAGAAAGAACACAAACACGAGCGGTTGCACTCCGTTGCATTCTCCATTTCGCTGTGGGTCAAAACCTCACCCTGCAAACCATGGGATCGGTTGACATCCCTTGAAGAGAAATAGTACATAATAGTACATTTTCAGGGGTCAACCAGGGTTACAGGGTTTTGACCCACACCCATTTGTCATCAGAGGGAGCAACCCGTGTCTTCAACATTCTTCAACCACCATCTGTGTTGCTGAGGGTGGTTTACAGGGTACTAGTTTTCAAAGAGTCGGAACTAAGCCAAGAAACGCCAACGAGAGGTTCTGCGTGCAATATGAAGCCAAAATACAAATCTTGCCAAGTCAGGTTCTGACATGAGTTGTGAGTCTGAAACCATATCATACCATCTTGTGCCTCCAGTATCACGCAAAACGTACAACACGTTATATGTTCTAAGGTCCCCATCATCGAATCTCCAAAGGCCCCATCATCCAACTGCCACTGCGACTCCAAGCTTCAACTCAAATCTCAAAAATACACCTCCGACGTCCCATCATTGGTGAAACTTACGAGTGATTACTTTGAACATCCTCGGATTCCTCCCACAGACTCCAGGCTGTTGGTCTATGCAGGGGCCATCCTCGCCAAAACCCACCCGTATCGTCAGAGTTGCCCTTCAGGAGGTGCCCTTCAATTGCAGTGGACAAAAGATCTTTCTGGCGCGCGAACCCGGAAAATGCTAAAGCATCTTCCCAGGAAAGAGATTCACCCAGTTCGGGAAGATAAATTTTGCCTATAAGCAAACAACAAAAACAGAAACCAGTGTGTGTGACTGTACTAGCTAGCTGACTAGTCACAAAAGGGCCTTCTTGAAGTGATGGCACGTGCCTTCAACGGAAACAGGGAACACGAACCCCTTCTAGTCGCACAAGGTCCAGACCAACAAGGTCCACATGGTCCAAACCAACACCAAAGCACCCTCCGAACTACCACACACCCTTGCGGGTCCACAAAGCCTGGGTTGCCATCGCTTTCACCCACATCCCTCCACCAACCAACATCTGCCAACCAGGCTCTCTTGGAAGACCTCGTCCAACACCTCCTTGTTCAAATCTCCGCCGAGCGCTTTGCTGCTCCAGGTGCTGGGGTCGGAGGCACTTGGGGTCACCACCTGCTGTCGGCTCCGCACCCAAGAGGCTCGGCTTACGAAGTATGCCGTTCCCCGAGAAGCTCCGTGCCGGTCCTGAAGTCTATGACACACAAACAGCAAAGAGTTGACAGTCGACATAGGTGCCGTGACTGTTCTTAGCAGTTCCCAGGGCCGGGATTTGATTGTGGGTGTGCTTCGGGGCGTATGCTTCAGGATATGCTTCCAGCAGTGTGAAGACTAGAGCAATAAGTATTTTCAGATGGTATGCTTTGGGGCTATGCTTTGCTAAGTCGAACATCCGTCTATAAACTGGACATATTCCGGCCCATGTATTGTGTATGTTGGTTAATATCGTCATTTATCACAAATGGACAATGGAGTAGGGATGAATATACTAATTAGTTATAGTGTTTTCATGTGCTTCATATGTACACGTCGAATCATGGCAACACAAAATCGTTTGAGTGTGAGTTCTAGGTGTTTTGTCAATGAAAACCTCCGCAAGCCTACATGATCTCATTCAAGGTCTTGATCGAAAAGACTGACTCAGCTTGCCACAGTTTAGGGTTGGGGGGGGGTGCAGTGCCTGCAGTCACTACAGCCCTCCCCACGCTCGAAGCACAAAAAAATATATAAAATCCGCCGAGTCTCAAGTAGCCCTGGCTTAGTTCTTGCGAAGTCCCGCTTCCGCTCCTGGTGTGTGTGCCGTTTGTTTTTGGCTTCGTCCGATGACAGGTTTCTGGGCTTTGAGGTGATGTTCAAGTCACCGTACAGCTACAAGGGATGGAACAAGGCCGACCCTGATCAGCCTCCACTACAAGGCCGTCCGTAGAGCTACTCGAGTTGATCCACCAAGTTCAAGACGGTGTTTAGATCATCCAGGAGTCTCATGTTCGATGGTCTGCCATTCATGTTGTGTCTGCTGTTTCTGCTCTTCTGTGAAAAGACCAAGAAGGAGAGAAGAGTCTTCTCTCCTCTTGTTTTTTCATTAAATGGCTCCTTGCTCAAAACCATACCTTTCCTGGCCCTAGGGCTCCAAATACCTCCTCAAAAGCTATTTGGACCCTCTAAACTACCCTTCCCAAACACCTTCTAAAACGATAAATTGGAGCCCTACAGTGTGGTTAAATACATCTAATGTGAAACGTTGTGTCGAGATGTTTCAAGCACCACTTCTTTGACAATTATGTTTCGCTCATTCCCCTCTTGACAATCATGATGAACGAACCAACCAACGGTGCAAAAAGGAGGTGTTGCTACTGCCCAAACGCTCATGGACCTTATATGGAGGGGTGAGACCCTCATATGCATGTACGGGCTTGGGGTCGAACCAATCCCTAGGTGTTGAGGGACCAAAGGCTGTTTGGAGCGTCTGGCTGGTACAATGAACTAGCCGCATCCAGCTTCCACGAGACATCTGAGAAAAGCTGAACAGTCGCACGATGTCGCACATAAACCATCGTGAAAACACGTTGTCAGCCTCTGAGCATCATGAGTTCCGCAAAGGATCACATGGCCAACAACGGAATCAAGACTCCACCAGATTTTTTGAGACCAGGAGGGGACAAACCGCTTTGTCCAACTGCATACAGCGTTTCCCTTGTGGTGGCCCAACTGTACAGTGGCCTGTCATGCAGCCTCCGCAATCGAGTTCCGATCATGAGAAAGGCCCTGAATTCGGCTACCATGGCTACCGGTTCTTGTGAAAGCTTTTATGAGCCGCATCCATCTCCTACAATATCCTACGATCCTCCCCGCGCACGTGCCGCCGCATTTGTGGCAGCTCGTAGCTCATGGCTGGGGGGCAGATCGAAGACAATGGGCGGTCGGGTGGGGTTGTAATCGGATGTGCAGGTGGAGGCGTTCACGAAGAGCGTGACCTCGTCAGCCTCGGGCAAGAGCGCCGTGCAAGTAACATCGAGATGTGTCGAGCCAGCTGGGTTTGAGGGAACACAAAATACATGTGACTGTGCAGCCCAAAAAAATGATGAAACATGCAAAACCGAACAAACTGGCTCCATGAAAAGCAGAAGGTGGGCTTAGTATACTCGGCTGATGTTTCTGCTGGCACAAAATACATTTCGACGCTGAATGGCGATTTTGTCCAATGGTGGGCATTCTTGCATAGCTTGCCACAAAACTGGCTGTATGGTGTGCAATCGTTTGAAACATCCTCGCGCCGCGGCTATCTGCGGCTTCAAGCTGAGCAACATCAACACCATGGCCATATACTTACAACCAAAATCTATCGAAATGTGTGTCTGGTGCTTTCAGGTGAGCTCTGTTCATCTTGCCGCATCTTGGCCAAGTTTGACTCATGCAATATGACCAACGGACAACTCACTCATTTGTCCAAGACCGACCAATGGGTTGGCCGACAAGCTGTGGCTTGGCCATGTTTGATCATGTTTGCAACCTGTGGGTTGGCCATCTGATTCGTCTGTTTTCCTGTGACCAGCTGCTCCACTTCTTCCAGCTCCTGTCATGCCGGGGCACGGAAGTGCCATAGCCCGTATGGAGGTGCCCCGCCACCACCGCCGCGATGGCTCGTGCCTGGACTGCCTGGATGGATCAGAACTTTGGTCGTGAGGTTGCATGGGAAACACCACAGAACAATGGCTGGCAGGGCAGGATTCTTCCGCAGTGCCCAACGAAAGCTCAAGAGCCGGACTTCTATCTGTGAGGTGAAGGCAGAGGACACTGAAGAGGACATGACTTGGGTCTATCCCACTACCTGTAACAGTGGATGATTAGTAGAGGCCTCAGGCCTTGTCCAAAAAAAAGTGATATTGTTTACTGGCTGTTACAGGTAATAGGACAGACCCAAGACATGAGCACCAAAGTCCTCTACAGTAGGCAGGACTTGACCCAACGACCCTGAGACCATGCTTGTGGAGTCGTGGAGTCTTCCCATGTTCCTCTACCGTCCTCGAGGTTGGTGAAAAGCTATTGGCTCAACATGTGACCAGCCCTACTATTCCAACCACCATTGATTTAACAGGCTGAAAACTGGGTTGGAAACCCCCGCTACAACAGCGGAAGGATCCTTGAAAAGCGAGACAGCGTCAAGTGAGAGATCGAAGCACCTTTGTTTTTAGTCTACTATACGGGTTTTACACTACCAACCAGGTCAACCTAGGGAAGCCTACAAACCTTTCTTTTACCAGGGAAGCCTACAAACCAGGTCAACCTAGGGAACCACCATTGTGGTTTTACACTACAAAGCTTTCTGAAATCATGGTTGAACGGAAGCCTAGGGATAACATGTTGTCTCAAACCCCTCCCCAAAACTTCCGGCTGCACATGTATCAAACAGGCCATGTACCCTACGTCCAACCAAGCAACGGTCCGCACCCGGGACGAACATGAATGATAGAGTCATAGAGTGTTCATATTGTGGCGTCCTTAAGTGCATATTGAAATTATAACACAATTTAAGATTGTATTGTATGTGGATCATTTTTGTGATTAAGTTATCCTATTTACTATGTCCCTTTGGCAGCCTTTGGTCACCTCCACGCCACACTTTCACCGAGGTGCTGCCAGGAGCTCTTCGCATCCTGCGTGCCCTTCGTGCGAGGTCATGTCCACATGCCCCGCAGGCGGCCCATGCACCAAAAGGATATCCGTGTCCTCGGGAATGGCCTGGCAATGCAAACAAAGGACCTGGTTCAAAGTGACCATTTCATCCCCGGGTTTGAGGTCGTCACTTGGACCAAAGGTCAGTGGATGGGACAAAAGGATACAAAAGGAGCACATTGAAGAAGGTTTGCGCAACTTGGATTTGCTTAATGAACCCGGAAGAGAAACATCAAGCATCCCCGGGCCACGGGGATTCAGCAGGAAGATGAAAACTCGGATCCTTAAAACCCGGGCAACGATAGGTATTTGGACCCTCCAAAACCCATCCCAAACAGCTCCGAAACGAAGGGACTTGGAGTCCAAAGGGGGGCTCCAAGTAGCCTAGGTCTGGAACTCAGAGGTGACCGGTCTGTGTCCAACCAAGACACCGCGCGAACGTCGCAGATCACATCGATTCCGCGGCACACGGGTGCGTGAACCACACGATCCGTCCATAGCAACGCCACGGTCGATGGTCCTTCCAAGCATCACCCTTTTTGGGCTCTGGTAAATACACCCTAGGCTTCCAACAACCATAAATTTAATAGGCCGAATACCGAATCAACTAAGGATTTTACACTACAAAAACCAGGTCGTTCCCATGGTTTTAATGGTCGAACGGAAGTCTCGGGTACAGTGGTGTCTGATGTCCTTCCTCTAAATCCATATCAACCACCAACATTGGGGCCCCGGTGCCAATCAAGGTGAACGGAACCTTCCACCTGTTGGGTTGGAAGGGACACCAAATGCCCCAAGCCAAGGCGACCTGCAGGTCGCCCAGGAAGCACTTCATAGGGGTAGGGATTCGATTCAGGGACACCAAATCCCGCCTCCCATTTCTTCCTCAGCTCATGTCCCCTGGGACGATTGAAGGCCCAATCGAAGAAGTCAGGCTGCCATGGAGAGCCAAAAATCTTATACCTCGCATCTGTGAAACTTGGAGGGTTTCAGGTCTTGATGGAGCAGGTCTTACCAATGCCACAAGTCTCTTCAACGTTCCGTCCATGTGCTGCAAACCCTAGGGCTGCTGGCCCACCTCCTGAGAAGATGGTTGGGGTGGATTTGCGGGGTTCGAAGCACCTTCTGAGGATATGGTTGGAGCCTAAGGCCCTAGGGAAAGAGGGATCCGGCATGTTCAGCGACAAGTAGAGCAAGTCGACCAAATCCAGAAGTGACACTCGTTGAGCGACTGCTCGAAGGACTAGCTAGTAGAAAGTGACTGCCAGTCCACTCAGAAACCAGCCGTACCCTAGCATTCCAACCACTGATTTAACAGGCTGAATCCCGAAGCACCATTGTTTTACTCAGGGTTTTACAGTTACACTAGAAAACCAGGTCAACCTTTCTGTTTATGGTCGAACGGAAGCCTAGGGCTTGCCTTCCAGGTTCAACTTACCAGGGCTTTGACTTTCGATTCTTTAAAACCCCGGTGCAGAACCCCGGTGCATTGGATGGCAGTCGAACCAGCGAACGTCTGAATGTAGCCCGAAGAAGGTGAATGCACATAGATGAAGAATGGTGAAACATGGTCTGACACAGTCCTAAACCATGCCCAGGTGCCCCCGCACTTCGATCGAAGAGTCTTCCAGATAGGTGCAGGACTTCAGCAAGCCCCTGGCCTTGCTGCAATCGTACGGCTTTCCCTTGTGGAATCGCCGAGCGCCACGGGCCAAGTAGTAGTCCTCATCAAAGGTCACGTCGTGGTTTCCGGCAATGACCACTTTCACCTCAGACTTACCAAAGCCCGATGTCGAGGTCGAGCAGGAGGGAATGAAAAGGAATATGAAACTGGTTGCGGTGGTGGTTGTTGTTGTTGCTACAAACCAATCGTGTTCATATATAAGTGGGTGATACTTTCTGGGCGGCTCGCTTTTTCATGCCACTCCCACCTCTGCGGGATATCGTTCCAGCCATTGGTTGAAGGACTCCACTTGCTCCAGTTCACCGGAGTCTGTGAAGTCTCCCGCGTGCAGCAGCACATCACCAGGTGGCATGTGCTCCTGGGGAATCCTCAGCGCGGGCGTCGCCCAGGCGCGCCCGTGCAAGCGGACGTCTGGGCGCGCAGGCGGTTGACGGTGCCCAGGCTCGGACGTGACCACGTTGACAGATCTAAGGCGCTCTATATAGCACTCTGGTAGTCTGGTATTGACATGAATCCCAAACGTCATTGACATAACCTTCTCAAAACGTCCTTGGATGCATCTTAAGGCTCATCCCATGTAAGTTGTGCGTGTCGCTGAAGCACACGAAGCGCGTCCAGCCTTCCTTCCGTTCTTCCCTCCAGGGTGGTGGCACCACATGCGCCCCAGCAGGACACCATGAGGCGGAGGAAAACTGATCCTGTTGGATTTGCTGTCCAGGAAGCAGAAAAGAAAAAATACACTCCCTGGAACTAACATGGAAGTGGATGGCATGGCCCCTTGGAAAACCATGAAATCCACTACAAACAGGTGGTGAACTCCACTTCCATGTGAATTCATGTGAATTCCAGGGAGAGGCGTTCCCATGCCAGTGGATTCGCGCAGTTCCGGGGAAAGTAAACATCCTCCGATCCGCAAATATATATATATAGGTTGGGTCTCTCCTAATACCTGGGCCCAGTGGATGATGACGGTTAGGTTGCAGGCCTTGTTCAAAAATAGTGATGTGCTTGTTTACTGACTGTTACAGGTAAGAACGGACAGAACATATATATATATATGTGTGTGTATGTGTGTGTCCTTCACAGGCAAGAAGTCCTTGTGGTGGAAGTTGCCCTCACGACCTCAGGTGGATCATCTGTGAAGCGGTGGGCAAATCCACTGAGTAAAAGCGCTGCATGCAAGCAGGTTTAACAATGCAGTGGCTGGAAAGTTGTGAGGATTTCAATTGAGCTGCACTTGTTTTTGGACCCTGCTATGGTCACAACATGTCCCAACCCAGATCAACACCTGGTTTTTTTTGAAGTCCAAGAGTGGGGAACGGATGGACATATGGATGCTTGGCATTGAAACAGGACTTGATGAGAAAGGAATATGGCATCTACCATCTGCAGGCTGTCAGGTCGATCGACCAGAAGAGTCAGCCCGGCGATGATTCGAAGCAAAGCCATCGGTGGACAAAAGGAGGTCCTGAAAAGTCCCCGTTGGCATCGAAGCTGAAGGTCTCAAACTCTAATTTGGAGATGAACATGCCGCACATCGTCCAACGATGCAACGACATGTCAGCTGTAGTTCCAGCTGTCTAGTCCACATGCGTGGAATTAAGCACTGTTCAATGAGGCACTCTAAAATGGTACAGCAAATGTATCGTGATAAACTCCAGTGTCATCCGATCTCATCAAGCTGACAAAACGACATTGTCCCATGTGTTCCAGGCAACATGGCTCACCTGAACCGTGGTGCTTTTTGTTCCATGGCGGTTCAGAATCATCCCGCCAGGCAATAGGGAGATGTAGATCTGTTGATAAGACCCCGCAGGTGGTGATGTGAAACCGTGTGACCGTGTGTGGTGGATTCTATCAATCAACAAAACCTACACAATAAACTTGTGTACTCTAGACCTTTAGGTCATTGTTATGTCACATGTCTACATCTAGAACCCATATTGGTGACCTAAGGAAGTTGTAGGTTCACCATTTTAGGTCATCCGGTGTCATAGGTGTCTACATTTACCTCCGCCACTCCGCCACATCTTTCATTCTTCCCAGTGACCGTCATCCTGGAACTCCACCAGCCAGGTCCCATCGCCATAGTCCAGGGCCAACACTCCGCGGCCCACGCCTTTCACAAAGACCTCGCTGCCCAGCTCCATCTGCTTTTCGGATCGGTGAGCCAGAATCGCTGCGGGGCGAGGAGAAGACATCGAAGTAGTGTTGAATCCAAAATGGGACGGAATCATAATGAGTAAAAGGATGTAAAAGGGGGGGGGATGACGTTTTTGCTCATTATCCAGCATTAAGGAAAGTTCCTCTTTGGGTTGCCTAGAGGCCATTCTTCGAAAAGTCTTGGACTCCGCAAGGTGATTCTGTTCCAGTCCCACCGAGCCTCCCTGGGCATCAAGGGATGAACCCACTTCAAGGTGTGTCAGCTGAAGTTTGCTCGACAACATGATAAAACCCCCTATGTGAAGAGGTTATAAAATAAAGATGGGAGGGTTTATGAATCAAGAGTCTACATGAGGAGCTTCATCGTCCTCAGATGCTTCACTGCCTCACGACCAACAGAAATCGCTCCACGTCGCCAGGCTGACGTCGAACCTCTCAAGACCAACAGGGTCGACCCCCCAAAACCAAACTAGTCTTGATGTCTCATGATGTCTTCTCGCCCTAAAGACACCTGACTCCCGACCCGCTGCAATCCGTGAAAAACGGGTGGTCCTTACTTTCCACCTGACCCGATCCAAGTACCGAACCTCAGGTACGGTGATTGGAGACACTGTGATCTAGGTTTTGAGGGTCCAGTCGTACCGAACCTGAGGTTCGGTACGAAAACGGAGCTCTAGGGATATATATATGTTTGCAGGTGATCCACGTACTTCCTTGGACTTCGGTCTCGTTCCCGGCGACGACGGCCGGGTTCCGCGGCCGGGTTCCGCGGCTCCTCGAGAGAGGAACCTCCACTTGGCAGCGGCGAGGATTGAAAGCGGCCACGACCTCGGTGGCCCGTCCTGAGGTGACCTTCGTCCGGCCACGACCGACCTTCGGCGGCCTGGAGACACCTTCCCCTACAAGTCAATGACCTTATGAAATACTGAAGCGGGTCATACAAAAACACTACTCAATAGGAGGTTTTCAGGACCAGGTTTTACTGGGTCTTTGGACTTGTAGGGCTTGATGGAGCCTGGTAATGACTGGGAATCACCATCAGGAATCATCCCAGCACCGGGAGCCACTGTGATGTTCGCCGCTTCTTTAGAAAGTCTGGCAAACACATGTTTTGGACCTGGCGTGATTGCGAGCATGTCTCAGTTCACCCGTCTTGCGTTGTTACCACCGAACCTGCCGTTATGAAGTGGAGCTGATGAATGGTCGAAGCCTGCAGGGGAACCCCTCCCAAGCCAATGTGCGCAAGTGATTAAGAGACTGGACGCAACACAAGGGTCTGCAACACAAGCATCTGAGGTTAACCAAATTGTTTGATATTCTTGACACATGTTCATTCAATAGTATAGATAGATTAGATAGATTAGATAGATAAGCTATATAGATAAGATAGATAAGAAAGATAGATAGATAGATAGATAAATAGATAGATAGATAGATAGATAATACGTAGTTTGTCTCGCTGCTTCTTGTGTGCTTTGCATGAATAGGCAAGGGCGTGGCTTTTCTTGCGATATGCCCTGATCAGGTGGAGTTTGCCCTTCATTGCACAGTGTTTTGCTCTTTATGCGTCATGTTCTCAATGAGTATGATCTCTCTTTTGTCCAAGGCCAACATGTGTGTCGTGTTGTTTGACTCACTCCCTCACTGGCTGCTAGCTGGCTCTTGTGGGACCTGGCTCTGGTAGTCCGTTGAAAGGATCTTTCTCTTGTTTCATCTGAATCTCTTGGCCCAAGCAGCACCTCATCGGTGGCCTCACTGATGGCCCCGAGCCATTCAGGTAGTACTGTATAATTATAGTTACCGCACTGGTGGGCTCGAGCTGGGCTTGATTCATGAGGTTTCTTCATGAATCCTATGTCAACATTACAATATGGCCATAAACCATGGAAGCGCGTAGGTTTTGGAGCAATAACAAACATGGAAGTGCGTGGGTAGTATCAGCACCACCTCAACATCCTCAGGCATCCCTGGGGGGAGTAGCCACGGTCCAGCCCAGGTGAAGCAACTTCCACGTATGAAGGAATCAGTCAGAAATGAAGAACGCTACTAGGGGCTCCTGGCCTTACTACTAGGACTAGTTACTAGGAGCAAGAATGATCATTGGCATTTTCTACGTGGAACTCCCCAAGCACACATCCAACCACGCAACGTGGAAGGCATGAAAAACAGGGCTGGTGCATTCTACTTTGTGCTCAAGCATATATATATATATATACACCCTGGCACTCCAACCACTGAACCTCAGGAGGTAGCCCAGGAGCCCAAACGGATCCAAACGGGATAATACAGATCACCCCGGAGCCCCGGTGCCACCTGCAGGGCCCCCCCAACGCTGGCCAGATCACGCTGCAGGTGTTGGAAGGGCCATCGAGGACGACGAGTCCACGCCACGAGCAGTAGGACCTCGGCGACGAGGCCCTCGCGGTCGGGTGGGGTGAGGCGGACCGGACCGGGCCCCATCACTGACTAGAGAAGTAAAGGATAGGCAGCACATGCCAGTCAGTGAAGTGCAAGAATCGATCTATCTGATCAGGAATTATGGATTGGGAGCTTGATACAGCCAGAGCTTGGCTCGGAGTCACGAGTGAGGCGCCTCGAGCTTGGATGTCCATCGCACGCGAGTCGTGTTTTCGAGCGTTTTCAGAGCGCAGCCAAGCGCCAGTGCCTCTGAAGCGGTTCAAGATTGGTTTCCGGTTTCCGGTTTTGACGGCTGCACCATGTGACCAGACAAACCAAAGGTACCCTTAGGGATCCAAGTAGCTTCTCAGAAAATGATTGGAGACACTGTTCTGTAGGTGCCACATTGTCGGGTCCCATCATGCCGTCTGAGGTTCGGTACGACTGGATCCATAGGGAAACCAGCATGAACCAGCTTCAAAGGAGTGCTTCATGGAGTGTTCATCGAAGGATGCCCCGGATTCCGATCCGGATTCCGATCCCGCGACGCTCGTGACGTGGGGACCCCATTCCTGGAAGGAAGCTGCTGGACAATGAGTTTTAAGGCACCAGTCCCATCGCGGTGGACAGGAACGGCAGTACGAGGTAACTCCCCTCCTGAGGTCATTCAGTGTCCCTGCAAAATAAAGGTCAACCGTAATTACTTTCCATCTGTTCTGTTCTTGCTTAGTCCCCCCCTGAAAAAAAAAGAAGCCTTTTCAGGTTATCCACTGATGGGGTATGCTTCACCTGAGGTCCTTTCCTCCCCACTTCGTTCTCCCTGTTCTTCATGCCCCAAGCACTGCCACTGGCAACACCCCCAACAGCAGCCAAATCAAAGGCCCATCCGTGGACAAAAGCCCGCGCTCACGCTCCGCCATGGGCTTCCGGTCACCAAAATGGAGACTTATAAGTGTCTGAAACGCGTTGAAAGGTGCACGTGGTGGTTGATGATTGAAATATCTTAAACACAAAACGCGGCTCTCAGTGAGCCTGGGCCTTGTGTCGACCTGTTGGTCAAGTGTGTTGCTTCTTGTGTTGTTGTGATCTAAGAATCTTTGCAAGAATCCATGGAAGTGGAAGAGTTCGCTGGAAGACCGTGTTCCTGTAGTTTCAGAACGTCTGCTCAGATTCCATGATCTGACAAAGGGCAGCGAGGCCCGGCTGACAAAGCTCCAGTGTTTGTCAGAGACCATTTCCTTTGTTGCTCTACTAGTTAGTTTTTTTTGTGTTTTTTCCCTCCTGCACTGCCCAACTGACAGAAGTTTGGGGTTGGTTTTGAGTTTGTTTTCTTTTTTTTGAG